CATAAAACCTGATGGAAATTTTCCAACACACAGAAGTGGAAAGAATATGTATCTATATGGCATCTTCCATCAACAAAATATATAGTCAATCTTGTTTCAACCATATTCTCACTTCTAAATTATTTTAAAACAAAAAAATCTAGATATTTTAATTCATATATTTCCATAAGGCAAGGACTTAAGAAAAAAGGACTAAACATATTTTGAGTAATGTTAGTATTACTAAAGAAGTATATAGCTCCCATGGTACCTTAAAAGTCAATAATTCCTTCAAATTAAATATCCAGTGTTCAAGTTTCCCCAATTTTTCATAAACGTATTTTTAAAGTTAGTTTATTCAGAGCAAGATCTAACTTAGGTCCTTTTATTGCATTTGGTGGATATGCCTCTTAAGTCTCTTAGAAGTCTTATAGTTTCCCCCCTCTCTTGTTTCTTGCTATTTATTTTCTGAAGAAACCAGGTCACTTTTCTTGAAACATGAAATATTTTACTGATTTATTTTATTGTCTGAGTTTTGTTATTAGAATGTAAACACCAGGAAGGACAGATTTTAGTCTGTGTGACATCAGTACCTACACCAGTCCCTGACATGTAAGAGCATCAAATAAATAATGAATATTTGGCACTCATTCTAGAAGTCCATTGCCTATCCAATAGCAAAAATTGCTAAGCACAGCCCTCGTTATTGCTATATCTGAATTAGGAACCCCAGTTTTATAAACACAGCACTCTAGGCAGTGACCATTAGCAAGTGAATTTGGTACCCAAGATGGTACCTATTTGTTATCCCTGCTTTAGACATCTTCAGAAGTGTACTTCTACCCCAAACAGATTTGAATGCACCTTCTAGGCTGAAAATTTAGCATGATAAACTGCTGAATGTATTTCTTGTTAAGTATGTTTAAACATTTCATAGCTTATTTTAGACAGTTTGGGGAAAAAAATGAACTGCAGCCAAAAAATAATAGAAAAAGAAACTACAGATGATGATGGGAAACTGGGGATACTACATATTTTTAGAATTAGCAACATCCCAAGAGATTCATTACAAAATAAAAATCAGCAACAAATGCTTTGAGAAGTAAATTACATGTGTATTGAATTAATTTTTTTAAACTACATGAATGGTCAAGATTAACTAAGGGATGATGACAGATGTGAGGATTTTCCCATTTATATGCATAAGCAACACAATCTATTTTTCTCTAAATGGTATTTTGAGGTATAAAAGTACTACAGGGGTGAAACTATAGTACTATGTAGAATCCATTTCTCTGGAGTTTACTGTCAGCAAGAAAATATAAAACATTTTGTACAACATTCTGAAAAAATAAATCTTCTCAGAATCATTTACAATTAATTTCTCTTAAATCATCTGATGAAACCCTTTCTCTCCAAATTTATTGGCGAGAATAAACAGATGTTTATGTTTCAATTACCTATTTCTACTAAAAAAGAAAAAAATCAGAAATTCCCTGGCATTCACTCCAGCAATCTTGTTTTCTCTTTAGCACTTTCAAATTCATTCAGCAGCAACAAAAAATCATTTAGAACCTTCTAAATGTAGTATGTTGGGCAACTATTTTCAACGTTTGAAAGAAAAAACATGGAGAAGTGATCATTCAAGATAACATGAAAAAAACTAGTGGCAAAACCTGGAATCATATCCAGATCTTTCAGTGATCAATATTTCTTACTTTGAAGTTCCCGCCTTTCAGTCCCAGGAAAGTTTTTCTCTAACAGAGGTCAACTTTAACAAAGAAGAAAAACAATAAACCACCCACTACCACAAGCAATAAAATCTCCAATAACCCAAATCCCTTGAAAGAAAGAATACTATTTATTTCTGTGTAATATATTTAGAAGGAATCTGGGAAAGGTGCTACCAATCTATAAATGGAACAAATTGAAATGCACTGTTTATAGACTTCCTCAACTAGAATTTTGTCTCTTATTTATATGTGCTGCTGGGAATCTTTAATATTGACCCTTTAAATTTGTCTTATCATTTTCTTTCTTTCTTTTCTTTTTTTTTTGGTGCTGGGAATTGAACGCAGGGCCTCAAATATGCTAAGCAAGTGCTTTAAGCTACAATCCCAGCCCCTCCATTGGCTCTTAAATCTTCTTTATTTTCCTCAGCTAAAAGATAAAATTGGAATAACACAATTTTTCCAAAGAAACTCCTAAAACCACCTCAGTGCTATCATATATTGGTCATTATAAAACTTTAATATACACAGTTAAAATATATACAATAAAATAATTCTATAAATCTTTCTGACATAGTACTAGGATAGACCTATACTGCTATTCCAAGATAAAATGTATGTATATATGTAGAAAAGACAGTTTTCAACTCTAACTTTTGCCTTAAAATTGTTATCTGCTAATACAAGCTTCTGTTGTTCACAAAGAGAATTACTACAATCTTTATCCCTGGAGCTACTGGACAACCACAATAAAGTATATTTGGAAATGAGAATTTTTAAAATACAATTGATGTTCTGACAACCTGAAAGGAAGCTGAAACTAAGTCAAATGGAAACATCCTTAATCTTCCCCTCAAAACTTGCCCAAGTGGCACTCAGCAGTATTAAACTCAGTTTCCCATTGAGTACTTTTCAGTCATTTGTTTTAAGGGAACTCAAAAGAAATAAGGACACCTGCAAAACCAGACTTCACCAAGTCCACAATGACTTCTGCCTTTGGAACTCTAGGGACTAAGTAAAAACTCTGTGCTACAAGCTTCCTTAAAGTACAAATGCCACTGTTAAATCTGGTAAATACCATAGGAAATACTTAACACAACTCTAAGGTTATTAAATGCCAGGTTTTTTTAAGGAGGGCAGATCTGCCACTAAGGCGGATTTCCAGTTAATTTTTTTTCAAATAATACATTACTACCAGGCTAATAAAAATCTAGGTGACAGTTTCTTAAGGGTTTTAACTTTATTAGATGAGGTACGATAACCATTTCACTACATGCAACTTTTTGCATTTAACTGTTCTAATTTCCAATTGTTTTAAACTCAAGACTCTTTTAATAAACTACAGAAAAAGGGAAAGGTTAGAGACTTGAGGGGAAAATAACAAATGTCTAACTTTCATTTTCTGATGTAAACAACAGAATGTAAATTCTGAGGGGTACCTATATCGTACATAATCAAATTCAAGAGAATCTAGGATAAGTGAACATATTCACTATTACTACAGTTCTGATCACTGTTCATCTCAGGAAGAGTTGTAGAAACAATGCTTGATTTAAATTTTTGGTACCTTCCAGTTTGGTATCCAATACATAAAACTACAGAAATAAAAAAAAATTGCCCTCAGCGTCAAGTATTTTACTCCAAAAGTTGTTGATATGAACAAAAAGCAAAGAATTTATATGCTATATTTATTTAATAAGGACAATGTTTTCCTTAAACCCAAAGGGGTCTTTACACTGAGCTATATTCCCATCTCTTTTTAATTTTTAAATTTTGAGCCAGGGTCTCCCTGAGTTGCTAAGGTGCCCCAACTTGGAGAACTTCGGTCTTGGATGTAAATCTGATTACTTTGAGGAAACAGTTCCCTGTTAGGTATAAAGAAACTGTATCAAAAACCAAAAGAGAAAAATTGCCCGAACTTAACCTCCACAATTCAAAAATTTAAATTCACACTAGTATGGAAAATGAATAATAAACTCATTTCTCCTCAATTGTAAGAGTAATATATATTCAATGTCAAAAAAAAAAAAAAAAAAAAAACCAAAGCCATCTCTGAAACAAAAGATCACTTGCTATGAAAACAAAATAACATTTTGCAGAGTAAGAAAAAATAAATAGTTTTTGAACCAATACAAACAGATAATCATTCTAAAGCACTTAATAGCTTCAGTTCTTAGTGCAACCAGCACCTTATGGATAAGGTGCTCCATAATATTTGTGGATACACTATTTGATGATTAAAGTATGGGACAATTGTTGGTGACCAAATCAAGACACATTTCCTTGTGTGTAGTGGCTAAAATCTTGAGTGACATTAACACAAAACAAAACAAAAACCCTATCATTCCTCTCATCTCATGAGAGACTTGCACCTATAAAAATAAAAGTAGATGGTGAATTTATGATTTACAGTATTTTCTCCACTCAGAACATTTTTCAGGAAGTCCTTTGAGGTTTTAAGATTCAAACACTATGCACTAAGAATTATTGTTTGAACTACCTAACAATTACCCAGACTTCTTTCAGACTTCAGTTAACCTGTACGTAAAATGAGCATCTTAAACTTTTCCACGGGGCATTGGAGAACGAGTTATTACTCATAAACGCTTTCAGATCCTCAGACACCAGGAGCGGTAGATCAAGCGTATCCATCCATCAATTAGGGAGCTTTCCGACCTCAGTTTACCCACTGGACGGAAACGGGTGTATTAACTTTCTTGGCAAAGGCCCCTGAGCTGAAATTAATTAGTGTTTTTAAAAATGCTCTGAGATCCAAAGATGAAAGGAAATGTGAGAGACACGCAGAGATGATGACAATCATCCTAACAATAAAAAGAATGACTAACTTGGAAGTCTGTGTTATGTAAGGGAGGAGAAAGAAGTTATCAGATCCGCGCAAACAAAGCAAAAGCCCACTGCCCCCTTTGTTTCTCTTTCATTTCCCTTTGCCTCCCGCCACCCGCAGGGTTCCCCTCCCGCAGCAGGAGAGCGCGGCCCGCCCGGCGCGGGGCCGGGAGTCGGACGCCGCGCGCCCGCTCCCCGGCAGTGGGGGAGGGCGCGTCGGGCCGGCTCCTGACAAAGGCGCTTCCTCCTGCGAGGGCGCGGGATGCAGGCGCCGCAAACTCCGCTCCCCACCGCCTCCGGGCGCGGCACGAGGGCGCGCAGGCGAGCGGGGAGAACCGGCCGGCCCGCCGCAGGGACAGCCGCCGAGGAAGTTGAGAGCCCGCCTTCCCCGCACCTTTGGTTACCCCTGCCGCGACCCCTCCCGCGCTGTGCTGCAGCCGTACTCACCGGACAACTGCTGGTGGCCGGAATGCCAGTGCGGCCCCCGAGACCCAGAACGTGGGGGTGAAGAGTGCGTGCGCGGGGGGCGCGAGCAGACAGCCTGGCGTTCCGCCGCCGCCTGCCTCGCCAGTCGGCCAAGCCCCACGAGGCGAAGTTGACGGCGGAGCCGAGAGCTGAGGAGCCGCGGAGCGAACGAGAGGCGCGGGCCCGCTTTGTGGAGCGCTCCCGGAGGGCTACAGACAAATCCGGTCGCGCCGCACGGCTGCTGCTGTTGCTGCTGCTGCTGTTGTTGCTGTTGCTGCTGCTGCTCGCGGCAGCGGCGGCGGCGCCCCCCGACGGTTCCTCCGCCTCACACTGCCTCTGGGTCACTGACACACACTCAGAGGGAGGGGAGGGGTCTAACAGGAGGGCTGAGCCTGAGGGAGGGGACGGGGGTAGGGCCACAGCGGGAGGCGGTGCCGCGACACCGAGAGGACTCCTGGGAATTGTAGTTCTCCGACATTGTTGTGGAGGACCCAGGGTCCTGGTTCTGAGCTGCGCATGCTCGAAAATGTTCGCGTCCCGCCCCCACACCGTTACCATGGTCACCGACTCTATAAGCGAGCGTATGCAAAGGATTGTTGACTAAACAAGGCCTGTCCTGTGTCTTAGTGTTGTTGAGGAACCGTCCCATAGCGGGTCCTACCTACTTCGCTCCACCTGCAACAGCTAGCCTCACCACACACAAGTGCCCCGTGCAATCTAACGTTCTCCGGATATTTCAGCCTTCTCTGCTGCTTTTCTTCCACATATCCTGAATTACAAATACCCCATTTCCCTTGCTTCCTTCAAGTAAATCCTGTCTTAAATTCAAATTTCTTTACCTAAAACACTGAAATCTAGTTGCTTCCAGTAATTTGCCAATGAGGTTGTGAAACTGTTAGTGACATCACCACTAACAGAATCCCATAATTTCTTTGCTCAGTCACATCTAATTCTAGTACCAGCAAAGGGTAAAGTTCAGGATTAAGATCGCTGAATTTTACTTGATCGTATAAAATAATTAAGATCTGTTCATTTTAAGGCCTACGATGCTTACGACATACACATTTCATTAAGGGCCTGTAAGTTCAAAAGGTAAGTGTAAAGTTGAAAATGGTTCACTGTATATATGTATTAGCAAACTTTCATTTGGCAATAAGAAATCTGAACCAAGCTTATGAGTATGTTGTTGGGCTGGTCAGCTAAGTCTACACCCATTCTGGGCACCCAGGTATGCATAGGTGGTGGTGAAAAGGGTGGAGAAAGCCAGGACACATGACTGGCTCTCCAGAAGACTAGAAGTAACCTGTCTCAGGTTCATTGTTTTTCTCATTTCAGTCTACTCAGAACCCCACACCCTGGAAGAAAAAGATTAATGCTTAGGAATCAACATACATTTATGGGAAGTCAAAGGTTTTGAAAGGAGTCTCAGTATCAGAAATCCTGATTCCTTCAGACCACATAATTGTTTGCTCATTCAAAATGCACTTATTGAATGTCCTTGTGGCAGGCTCAGGTTTACTGAGCCCCAGAAATAGAGATACAGAAATGCAAAGGAAACATTCCTTGTTTTCAAAGTGCTTACTTTGCAAAAGAGATAAACACTACTATAGTAGAAAAGTGCATAAAACCCTAGACTCAGGCAAGGTCAAGAGATTCTTCAAAAGATCATTTGAATTTGAGAATAAATAGAAATGGGTGTATCTGTGTATTTAGTGTAGAAAGGGAACCAGAAAAGGTGGGGAAGAGCTTTGGAGGGCAGGGAGAGCAACAAGTGTGAAAATATGGGAGGCATGTAATCAAAGAACATTTTGGTTCAGCATTGCAGGTAGTAGAATGGAGTTGGGGACAGTGGCAAGAGGAGCCGCTGAAAAAAAGTAAGGAGACAGCCTAGATGATGATGAATCTTGTACAATATGCTAACGTGGACTTTTTTTCTGGAAACAATAGAAAGCCACACCAGGATTGTAAGCAGATGAAATTTTGATAAGATACGAATTTTAGGAAGATTACTCTCTGGAGTGTAACATGTATAGGGCATGATACAGTATTATACTGGAAAAGATAAGAGAATGAACTAAGGTACTGGTGACAGCAGGATTCAGAACTGAGAGTAATCAGGCGCTACTTAGAAGATAAAATTAATAGAACATAATGACTAATTGCCTATGTTTAGGGGTAAAGAAAGGATGAGGAAAGTTATAAATTATGATGCTTTTGGTTGCAAATAGCAAAAACCTTAACTCTAACTGGCTTAACTGAGGAAGATTTATTGACCCATCTATCTAGAAAATCCAGGTAAAAGGATGGCTACAGGGGTGATTGATTCAACAACTCAGCGATTTCATTAAGGACGCATTTCTTTCTCATTTTCATGCCGTTAGTATTAGCTTTATGGTCAAATGACAGTTGTCACAAATCCTGTGGATATAAGTTTTGCTATCTGGGTCCATTAAGACATATGAAGAATGATCTCTTTGGAAAAGAGAGAAAACTCTTTCCCAGAAGTCTCAATAATTGAGTCACATGTCCATACATAAGCTAAAAATGGTAGACAAGAGGTGGCATGAAGTTAATTGTTTTAGGATAAAGACATATGCCTACTCTTAGGGTAAAGGGAGTCAGCTTCCCCCAAGACTGTGATGAGGAGGTATGGATGTCCTCATGAAAACTGATGTGGTTATCCAGAATGAGAAAAACAGAGTCTGAGGAGCTACTACAAGGAAGATACCAAGGATGGCTCCCAGATTTCTGGTTTGTGTGATGACAAGCTAGTCATGCCATTCATTGAGTTAGGGAATACAAGAGATGGAACAGATTTGAGGGAGAATTTGAGTACTTCTTTTTAAGTAGGTTGATTTTGAGTTGATTCTGCAACATCCGGTTGGAGAAGTGGAGTGGACAGTTACATAAATACTCTTAGGCTCAGGAGAGAGATCAAAGCAACATAATATAGGATTGGAATATACCATCATATAGATGGTATTGAAGTTAAAGAAATAGATGAGACCACTCAGAAAAGGAGTAATCAATAACAGAACATTGGAAAGTGCTAGCACTTAAGAAGTAGGCAGGAAGATCATGAAAGTCCCTTGGAAGTAATAAAAGAACTAGGACATACGAAGGAGCAGAAAAATTTATAATCAGGAGTAAAGTCTACATAAAGTTGAAAATGACAGAGATGATAGAATTGGGAGTCAGCAACTTCAAAGCTGTCATGGTGAATATGCTTCACATGCTAAGAGAGATTAAAGATGTAAGAAGTGGAATCTAGAGATTAAAATTACAACTTCTGAAACAAAAATTTTATGGATAGGATTCACACTCAGAGGTAGTAGCAAATTAAGGCACTCAAAGAAAAAATTAGAACATTTAAAGACATAGTAATAGTGGAGCACACCTGTAATCCCAGAGGTTTGGGAGATTGAGGTGGGAGGATTGCAAGTTCAAAGCCAGCCTCAGCAACTTAGCAAGGCTCTAAGCAACTTAGTGAGACACTGTCTCAAAATAAAAAATAAAAAAGGGCTGGGGATGTGGCTCAGAAGTTAAGCGCACTTGAGTTCAATCCCTGGTACAAAAAAAAAAAAAAAAAAAAAAAAAGACATAGCAATAGAACCTAGCCAAAATAAAGGAGAAAGCGGAAGAGGAGGAGAGGAGGGAGAGGGAGAACTCAAGAAGAGTTCAGTGATCCGTGTGATAATATCAAGCACTTTAATATTTGCTTAATCACATTCCCAGATGAGAGAAGGGCCTTAGGGTTAACAAAAAATTATTTGAAGCAATATGGCTGAAAGTATTTTCAAATTGATGAAACTTATAAACCCAAGAGCTCAGTGAATCCTAAATAGGCTAAATGCGCATACACTCTTAAAAACAACTGCAAAAGGCATCATTGCCAAACTGTTGAAATGCAGTGATATGGAGAAGATATTAAAAGCAGCCAGAGGAAAAAGGTATAAAGGAATAAAGACAAAAGTTCTGTGGACTCCAATCAAAATCTCTGAAAGTCCAGAATACATTGAAAAGATATTTTTAAAGCACTGAAAGGAAAAAAAAATCTGTCCTATAGAATCATATATTTAGAGAAAATGTCTTTCAAAAATGAAGGCTTAAGAAAACAAAAGGTAGGAGGACAATGTCTCTAGCAGAACTGCACTACAAGAAGTATTAAAGCAACTTCTTCAGCATAAGAAAAGCAATACCACAGGAAAATTTGGACTTATGCTAAAGAATGAAGCGTTCCAGAAGTGGTAATATAAGTCTTTCACCTCTCAATCAAAAAAAATTTGAAGATAATTAATTTAGTAAAATAACAACACTATTTTAGGGCTGTAACACACATGGAAATAAAATGTTGGACAATAAATAGCTCAAAATGTTCAAGGAGGAAATGGAATTATATTGTCTAGAAAGATCTGGCATTTTACATGAAGCATTATATGATTGTTTGAAGGTAAATTGTGTCAGTTAAAGATGTATATTCTAAACCTCAGAGCAGCTGTGAAAAATAAAAACAGACATACTTAGTAAATAAAAATATAGATAAAATGAAATCCTAAAACAAAGAAAAATGTGGGAGAAACTGAAATAGAAGAGATTTGTGTCCCTAATGATAATGGAGCTGATATATCAGCTCTGGATGCATTACCTTCTGACTTCTTTTAAAATGAGAAACAAAATTCTATCTTGTTTAAAGGCATCACTATTTTTTTTATAATTCATTAATAAAGTTTATCTAATGTATAAATTATCAACACTAAACTAAGTAACCATGAAAACAAATCACAAATAACATTTAAATCCGTATCTATTGCCTTTTTTCTCATTTTTATTTACCATCCTCTATAACTCCTCTATAGCATAATTCTTTGTAAATTATTTTTACTCTCATTTGTTATATATGGCAGCAGAATGCATTACAATTCCGATTATACATATAGAGCACAATTTTTCATGTCTCTGGTTGTACACAAAGTAGAGTCACACAATTCGTGCCTTCATATATGTACTTAGGTGAGATGATGTCCATCTCATTCCACCGTTTTTCCTACCCTCATGACCCCTCCCTTCCTCTCCTTTCCCTTTGCTCTATCTAGAGTTTGTCTAATCCTACCGTAAAGGCATCACTATTTCGTGTTCTATGTTGTGTAACTGAACCCAAATGGAACAGCCACAAGCCAATGGTAGTTTCATCAAACCAAGTGTATTTTTCTGAATCAGAGAGATACCACGTTGCCTAGAATTTGGGTGTATGATCAGCAATTTAAACATAGTTTTGGGTCTTGTATATTTGGGACTAAGTTCATCTTTTGTATAAAGATCATTTACAATTAGTTCCATCAGT